GCTTTATTGACGAGTAAAACTAACTAAAACATTTCCAAGTACAGAAAGAAAGATATTTATTTTCTGATAACAGCACTGATAATAAACATTTTTATCAAGAAATGTTCCATAATAAGGTACTTTTAATTAGAGTTCCTTGAATCTTCCGTGCACAACGTAAGTTGAATACAGAAAATGGCGCTTCCCCTCTTAAAAAATCCACGCTACGCCCCTGCAATCAATGTATTTAAAATTATAGTTTCTGAATTCCATATCCTTTGCTTTGAGGTATAATTGCAATCATTTCCAAGGCTATTATGGTTTCTGCCAGTAATAAGTGAAATTGTCCTGGCTGTAATGTGTTGAACCATGAAGTTAAGACAATTTATTTTTACTACAATAGGCAGGCAAAAAGGCATTTATTGCAGCTAAAGTAGGTGTGTACAAATGAGAGAACAGATTTAAAAGGAATTATTGTGAAAGAGTTAATGACATATCTAGTTCTTTTGTCTAATTGCCAGTACTGAGAAGGGCATCTTGTAGAAAGAGCTGGCCTCAAAAGGGATTTGAGGACATACTGAAAGAAGGATGAGATTTGAGTGATGAAAGCCTGTGGGTCACAGCCTCAGCTTTCACAGAAAGTTAAAATATGGCTCTGACTTTTTGCTTAGGCTTATATATATAATATATATATAATATATTTATATTTATATACCAACTTCAACAGCAGCACGCATGAACCGTAAGCGGGTTATCAAGATTTTGCTCGTGAAGCGAGCTTAAAAATCTAGGGAGCAGGATATTCAGGGTGCGAGAAAGGCTTGAACCCTTGACACAATAAAATCACACATATTGCACACAAACGAGCGTATAATTTACCCATAAACCTTTAGTGGCATAAGTTCCTGACAAAAACCAAGAATATAGAATCACACTTTTACAAAGAATAATCAAAACACAAATAGAAACCTTTACAACCCACACTCATATAAATGAACTCATAATTTACACAAAAATTGATACTTTGATATAATTACTCTGATATACACTGGGAATTCCCTTGGAAACTTAATTATATCTAAATTTATGCTATTCTAATTACATTGCACATGAAACTAAAATTTCAATTTACAATCTCCTGCTTCAAAATATTACATGCAAAGAACCAAATGTGTGCAAGTGCACTACTCTCATTTACAATTTAACTGTGCCTGAAAATAGCAGAATAATAAATGTCCTAAGTATATTTTATGCAGGCAATAGCGCATCAGAATCTCGCCTACTATAATACTGCAATTCGTTGCCACCCGTGTCCTCAAATTCTTAACACTTTCCTGTACTAGTTTTTCCCTGCCGACGTGAACTTGACCACCCACCATAGATACACACTATTTTCCCGATTCCAACTCTACCCGCTGGACTTTGCGTCGCCGCCGCGTCTCTGCGTCGACGTCGCTCAGTCCCAGCTTCTGATCGTAAGAGACGGGATTCGCCTCTCCGTCTACGCTGTCTTCTGCGTCCCCTTCCGTTTCTTCTTCTAGTCGCCTCTTCTTCCTCACTACACCGCGCCCCTGACTACGCCCACGTTGCGAAAATTGTCCCTTTGCCACTTCACCGAATACTCGCTGCAAGTTCCTCGCTCGTTGCTACTTCTACTTTTTGCTAAACCAAGCTACTTTCAAATGCACTTCTCTCCACCAACGGGTACTTTTACTTCCGTGTCATTAATAGAATAAATACTTTACTAAGTCTGCACCAATCTCGCGGTCGACTGACTAGAAGCCTGTTACGACGCCGAATACTCCACTAATCTAGTAGTCGGTGCAAGCCGGCAACAAACTAAACTAATGTTAGAAAGTGTTGGCTCGCGCGGTGAATCAAAAGACTACAATACACTCGGCGATCGGGAACCGCAAAGAGAAGAGCTGCCTTACTCGACGAGTGTGCAAGAAAAGCAAGCTTCTGTTTGCGCCGTTCGCGTATTTATCATCCGGACGCCTGGGGAAAATTCTCAGGGTGGAAGCTTCCCCCCTCTCTCAACCTTTCACAATGCAAGGAAAACCGTTGCCTCGCTAGTTTCGCCTTCGTTTAGTACGGCAACGGATACCAGGCGCGCGCTGTTTATGAACCTTTGCTTTTCCCGCGCCTGCTATCCTCGCTGCCTTCGTGGTGTTCACACATACGAGAACGTAGGTTGTTATGGGGTTGCACAATCCCATAACGCCAGGAATATATATATATATATATATATATATATATATATATATAATCTCAAGCTTGATTAAAATCTCTGCCAGGAGAAAGGAAGCGAAGTGATGTAAAAAGGGAAATATAGACATGCGAAGCTAAAAAAGGCAAAATGAAGATGTTGAAAGAATGCCAGAAGCAGGGTGAAGCGATTCCTATTGTCAATGAAATACTAATGACGATGATGATGACTACATTTTGCCCAAGTTCTGGGATCTAGTTGGAAGTGCTGTGCAATCTGATGGGTTTGTCATGTTGCTTTGTGCTGTGTAAGCTTGCAGGGTAGTTTTTTGAGATGGTGCTGTAGTTTCTCCTTGTGGCATGAGTTTAAGACTTTGGGACCAAAGAAAAATGAGTGGCAATATGGCTATTCATGATTGTGGTGGTTGGGTGATGTGCAAGATTGGTCTATGAAGAAGCTCCAAAAAATAAATTGTTTTGGTGCCCTGACGTGAAGGATAGTGTTTGCATGGGTTTCTAAGGATCATTGTTTCGGGTTCTTGAAGTTTTGTCTGTTCCAAATTTGTATAATTGCAGTAATGCCATAAAAATTGAAGGGTTTTTCATTCTGTTGTAATGTATGTGTTTGTATAGAATTTAAAAGAACTACACTAATTGTCCAAAGGAATATTTTTTATAAAAAGTGAATAATGCATAAATGTAGAAATTGAATATTGTAATAAAATTGTATAAAAAAATTTAATAAATCAATTAAATTAATTGAAAGGGTTATTTAATTTTGTTGAAGTGCTAAAAATGAGAGTAAGAACTAAATTAATAGTAGTTTTGTGAAAGAAAGAAAGAAAAAGAAAGAAAAAAAGAAGATGAAAAGAAAATATTATTTGAAAGTGTACGTAATTTCTGTCAAATCCTTTTGTGAGCATGAGATGAAATTCCCTTCAGTACAGAGTGCTCAGTCAATGTTGAGATGGGTAAAGGAAGAGCAAGCTGAAACTTTTGATACAGTAAATGTACATTAGCAGTACATATGCCAGATTTTGAGAGGTGTGATTTTTATATAAGAAATGCATATTGCTACAATTCACTTGAATTAACTTTTTTTTTAACTTTCATGAATGTGTATGAGACAATGTAGAGCTATTAATGAAGGCAATGTGTGATTACCTGATGTTACCAGCATTAGTTGACAAGTATGGTACAGAGTACACCTTGAGAGAATGAGTAAAATTTAGTTACAGAACAATGTGTTTATTGGAAAGTGTTAACAAGATTGTTTGAAATTTAAAAAAGGTACATTATCTTTGAAAGTTAAAATGCATAATGGAACAAAAGTGATAAAAAGGATTTTTATGTTCTAACAAATTCAAACATTTTTGTAAATTACACAAAGCAATGGCCAAATGTTTATGTGGTGTGTGGAAAATTGACCTTATGTGTTTTGAAAGAACAATGAACATGCACAATGAAACTTAGTTTGCAGATTTTTTTTTGTATTGCCTTTTGTAATGGTTAATTTTTGTAAAATTTACTCTTTTATATTCATTCTTTTTTGAGAAAGAAATGTTTGTGAATGCAGAATGTTTTGCATGTGAAAAGATGTAATAGGATGTTACCTGAAATATCAGTGAGAGGTCAAATTGTGCACTAGTGATTTTTAACAGAATGTTTTTGTATGTTTTGGGGAAATGCCAATTAAGGATTGGAAGTATAATTTTATATATTGGATATTAACAAGTATTTGAATTTACTTTATATAATTTTTCTTTGGCAGTGATACTTGCCAAGCTCATTCCTAAGGCATTTTAGTAAGTGATAATGAGTGGAACTGAGAGGATGTCTGTATAACATGCTATTTATACAAAATGTGTTAATTTTTATATTCACAAATAAAGTATAATTAAAAAAATTATTAATATGCTAGATGAAAGTGTAAATTTGCAGTATTTTAAAAGAAAATGTGTAAATATTAATGGAGCATGAAATCCAGAAAGCACAACCAAAATGTTGCAAATAAAATTTTTTTAATTGTCTTTGAAGTTCCTTCAATTTTTTAGGCAGTCTCATTTGAATTTTTCCAATATAAAAAAAAAAAAACATTGAGAGGCTGTCTTATTCATTTAATAATTTTAAAATGCTCTTTCAAAACATTCATGGCAAACTTTTTTCTAAAAATCATACTTTTTCAAATGCACATTTCAAAGTTTGAAAGCTCAGAGAGCTGAACTAAAAATCTGAATTTTCATGAAAATTCTATCTGAAGTGATAAATTTTCGTTAGGTGATCCATGTTTAAATGCAATTCATGGGAATAAGAAATGCTACATATAAGTTAATTTGAAAAGTGTGTTTTTGAATAATGAAATGGTAGAATTGGTAACAGGCCTTTATGCTAAAGTGTAAATCTAAGAAACCTAGTAACAGAATGTATAAAAAATGAGGATATAAAAATGTTATAGAAATTGAATTGAAAGGATTATAATTGTGAAATACTATGCAATTGTGAAGGCCTGGACTTTGTGAATTCAGGAAGTGGAGGGAAGTGAAAAAGTCAAGATTTTTTTTTTTTCTTTTTAGAAATATTGAATTTCTGTAATAAAGAAAAATGTTTTGGTTTTTATTTGTTATAAATTGTGAATTCCTTATTTTTTTTTCCATATATTGTTAAGTAGTGTGTGCAGAGTAATGATCGTATTTTTGGGAATGTGGCTAAATGTTGAAAATTTTCCTATTTTTACTTTAGGAAAAATGGAATATTTATTATTTTATTGAAAATTAACGTTTCAATGAAGCACAAATTAAAATTTTTATTTGCAGATTAGTGAAACAGATCATGTGGTTTAGGTGTGTATTGTTTTAAATATTGAATATTTAAAATGGTTAAATTGAAGAGTTTCTGGGTTAGTGGGGTTGTAATTATTTTAGTAAAAGTGCAATTTGGGTGAATATTAATGTAGGAAATGTGATTTAGTAATTTCTTCTACCATGTGTCAATTCCTTAAATTTGTGTTTGTGGATTTCCATTGATATGGTTCCTTATTTAATTGTTCATTGTCCCAGAAATTAGTTATTTTTCTGTATATTTATTATGTCCTTTTAATTTTTAAAATCAGCTTTGTGTAGTGTTCAATTAGTAATATTTTGTTTGCAGGCTTTATTGTTAATTACCTTTACTTTGGACACTGGATGTTTTGGATTTTATTTTCCCTCATAAAAAATTCTGTGAAAAAAATAGAAAAGTAATGATAGGTCAACATTTCACTGTACTTATTTTCCTTTAGTTATTCTCCATAACTAATTTTTCTGTGTAAAAATTACCTCAATGTTTTCTGTGCAGGTTACCATTAGTGTTGTACGTTATCCTTTTAATTTTGTTTAGAGAGAAAGTGTAGGTTTTAGGTACTGCTTGGATCTGTTATGTTCTCTAAAATTCCAATGTTTAACTCTTTCTGGACCCTTTCTCTGCTGTTGTAATTCAATACTGGATCTCTGCCTTGTGTTCACAGGTGCCATGTTCTACATATAGTTTCCCCTCTTTGTTTTCCTTCTAATTTCTACATATCCTTTGCTATCATAATTTATCCATACATCTGTTTAGTGAAAACCTTTCTCATTATTGAAGTTTTCTCTTCCCCTTAAAATTCTCAACTTTGAGGTTTACCACTTGCTTCCTTGTTTACCTTTTTTTAAAGAAAGTAATTTTTAAGTTTCCTGTCTTATTTCTGCCTCCTGGTGTCCATCTTAAATTCCCAGCCTTCTATTCAACACAATTGTGTCCTCCCCATAAAGACCTCAGTTTGTTCCTTACCTTGTAAATATTCAAGTTGTTTCAAATCTGTCACACCTGCCAAATAATTATTTCTATCACTCCATTTATATATTCACAGCCATAGAAGAGGAATACTTGATTTCCTGGAGTAATCCTCTTCTAAACTTTCTATTTCTTTTGTAATGTCTTGTGATTCTGTTTTCCTATGCAAATCCCTTTCTCCTCTTTTTTCATCTTCTGTACTTGTCCCTGATCTCCATTCCTCTGCATCCATCCATCCATCCATCCTTCAGTACCTTACCTGTTACTTTTTAATTTGGTTTCCCATTTTATTCCTTGAATTTCCATACTGGTCAGATTTTACATCTATTTGTCTTTCTTTGTATGTAATTTTGTAATCCTTTTTCCTTGTTAATGACCTGTTCTTATATTGATTTTCCTTTTCTTCCTCTCGTGTTTGTTTCCTGACCCTTACCTCCTTGTTCTAATTTCCTTTTTACTTCTACCATACTGTTCCTCAGCATGTCATTTCAATTCTATCAAATTTGTATTTTTTCCTTAACAAACTTTCCTTGTTTCCCTTGTTTAATATTTAGAAATAAAATATAATAAATGTAGATGTTAAATTTTTGACATATTATTGCAGATGCAGACCCTGTCGGAGGTGTTTGTATGGAGGAGCAGTGGGAGTTGCCCCCCTGCCCCGGCTAGGGGCTGTGGCACATTGTAATCCGTGAGTGTGGAGCATTGAAGCAAAGGCAGCAAAGAAGCGAAAGGAGAACACGAACACGGACACGGACGGGAACGGATCGGCCAATAAATGCTTTCACTTCTACACTGGTCTTTTTATTTATCCCACTCCCTACATCATCTCTAAAAATAATCTAAGTCCATTAAAGGAAATGAAACTCAATTCAATTAAATAGCAACCAGAAGCAAAGCAACGAGCAACGCTGTGCTCAGATCAGCCCAACTGTTCTACCCTGCACTCTTAACAAGGAAGTGTATTCACTCTTACATTCTTCCCAGTTCTCTCAATGTTTATTAAGGCAAAAAGTTAAAAGATAAGCAAGGACAGATGAGGCACTCATTAAGCCAAATTAAAAAACTTGGAAATTCTGAAACAGGATAGGACAAAAGTCTAATGGAAACTTAACTTAACTTAACAAACATTGAAGCAAAGTGACATGACAATGGCCTGAAAGCAAACTTATCAGCAAATTACCTACAAACGTTTATTTTGTATTTTGTAAACTTAATTTTAGAGATTCCAACTTTTCACACCCAAAATCATATAATCGCTACAACTTGCTTCATTACACTACACCAAAAACTTTAAGATTCTTTTTTTATTCGTTTGTTTGGTTGGTTCAAACTCCTGACCAAAACTCCATCAGGATAAGGGAGGTAATTAAAGGTTTTAGTATAAGCAAACAAAATTAATCACAATCAATCAATCAATCACTTAATTAAAGTTTGACATTCTCAGTTTACACTTTAATTAATTTCACATTGTCTTTAAACAAACAACTTCGCAACACTTCCTTCATCCACACAACCTGCAAACATAGAGGAAATAATCAATTCACTGAAATTAACATTTTTTTTCATTTTTCTAACTTACACAATTTTACAATCAATAATTTCACAAGGATGTTTGTTACCAATATTTCAAATCATATTTCCATCCACATACAGAAAGCCATAAGGCCACAATAATTGTTCTATCCCTTATTAAAACACTACTCTACCTTTATACACTTAAGATTAAATAAATTTGAAATAAAAGAAAATAACCATACCTTGCATCAAACACAAGTGAATGCCATTGTCACTATGGCAGCTCCCTCTTAATGTCCTTAAATTCAGATTACAGCACTTCTTCACACCCTTCATAGACCTGACAACTTTGTACATATTGTACAAACACACAAGGGTGTGAAGAAAAATGTCTAGTAATTTCAACATATGCAAAAGGAAAGCCATAAAAAAAATTAATAAAATACAATGGGGTAAATGGAATAATCAACATAAACTTTGCAAGATATATAACAGACATAAAACTAAGAATACACATTATAACATAACACCTAAGGCAATTTTTATGTATGGATCAGAAATATGGATCTTAAAACAAACAAACTGTCAGAGATTGGAAGCCCCACAAATGTCACTTTTTCGGCACCTGGCAGGAATAACACACATGGATTGACCAAAAAAAAAAAAAAAATCCAATCGGAAAAACACTTAAAGCGACATCATCAAAATGCATCATCCGACATGCTAACATCTTCAACATTCATCATCCAAATATAGCAACAAAGCTTCACAATACTAACAGGGAACAATTCGAACATATTCAAATTCGCAAACAACATACATTCAATATAAAACCTATATTTTCAAGCATGATTATACATGAAACTACACCACTTGAGATTCTCCAACTAATAAATAGACTATCAAAAAATTGTTCAGCAAGAATAAATAACATTCCATCGAAAACACAAAAATCAATCATTCAAAAAAAAAAAAAAAAAAAAAACTCTCAAAACATTGTATGCACTAGTGAAATGATTTCAAGACAACGAACTCAACACAAACACCGACAAGAAAGTCTCTCTAAATTTCATGAACACCTATTACAAAGAAAAATCTTAACAGTATTTCCTCAAAATTTATAATTCTGTATTAATACCTCATCAAACTAACTTCCTCTGTCTGATAATCTAATAAAATAAAAAATGCAATTTTTACATTTCAAACCTTAACAAGAAGCTGACCAAATTTTGCCATGCCCCATACTCCCTCAAATCAAGTTCCATCTTTGAGAAACTTTGGAAAATGTTTTTTGACAATGGTCACCCACACCTAATACATATTAAATAATAATCTGCCCAAAAGATCATCGAGCAAATTTCTTTCACGTGTATTCCCGGAAGTAATCGTCTGATTGAGGTCTAGTTTGCTCTAAGCTATTTCTCGTCAAG